GGCAGGAGGAAATATGAGCTGTTTTTGAAAGGTTTAGTTTTAAGAAGTGTTGGGACATCTAGACTGATATGTAGTAGATTAGTGACACACAAGGACACTGAGGGGGTGAATAATATAAAGTGTGCTTCAATGCATAAAGCAGGAATCATACCTTCCTATCCTTTGCAGCCGAGGAAGGTGCCAAATGTCAGGACAGGAACCGGATCTGAACCCAGGGTCTCTGATGTAGCTGGCGGTGGTTCTACCTGCTGAACCTTGGATAGCTCCTTGCCTGATCTCCTGTGTATCCTCAGTTATACCTGATCAGCTGCTGAACTTTGAACTCCTTGCTCCTCCCTTGAACTTCCTATTTAAGCCATGCCTCTGCACTTCCTCTTTGCCAGATTATTGTGCTCCTGCCCAGATCTTGCTTCCGACTACTCTCTCCGTCTCCTGCTACATACCTGATACCTTTGGCTCCTGACCTCGGCTTGTTCACCGACTTCGCTTCTGCCTTCTCCTCCACCACTTCCCTCTGCTTGTGTACCAAACCCGGCCTGTTATACTACGAATTGCCTGCTGCTTCAGCTGCTGGACTCTGAGACTGATCCCAGATCGTGACACCATGTTAGCCTCAGTTTCTATTGCAGTTGCCATGGTACTGCACATGAGATCAGCTATGACACCAGTCATTTGAGCTTAAATGTTCCGCTGAGAGCTGATATAGGCACCCTGGCAACCTTGACAGTTGACATGCCTTAAAAGAAACTGTTTTCAGAGACAGTTAAATTGGTGGGTCAGGTTCCACTTTAAGTGCTGACAGAAAAATAACAGCTGGGCAGATGGTTTCCAACAACTGACAGGTGAATGTAAACAAAGGGGCCAAGGATGCTGGCTGACATCATGATGTCATACAGCTTCCCCTGCCCCTTTGTTTACATTCAGCTGCCTGCTGGGGAATCTCCCAGTCACTGGTTGCTAAGATGCATTCAGCTGCCCAACCAAAGTCTCTTAGCATCTAGTGACATGGCTGAGGGGGCAGAGCCTGATGGGGAGGTTGAGGGACTAGTTCCTCATCAGGTCTTCCTCCTTTGTGCTTGATAGCAAACAGTGGGCAGATTTCATAGTGAATTAGCCTGCTATTGGCTGTGGAATCTGTGCACTGCCTGCTGTCAATTTTCAGCAGAGCAGACATGATGGGAAACTAGTCCCATGGCATCCCCATCACTTTTAGTGTCACTCGTTGTTAAGGAGGCTGTGGGACTACAGCCCTCAGCCTTCTTAACAACAAGTGCTGCTGACAGTGGCGGTGGAACCAGAGGGGAAAGCCTCAGAGCTTATTTCCCTATCAGGTCCCCTCTGCTATTAATTGATAGCAAGTAGTGGGTCTATTCTACAGCCAATAGCCAGCCTCTTATTGGATATTGAATGCACCCACTGCCTGCTGTCAATCAGCAGCAGAGTGGAGCTGATAGGGAACTAGTCCCTCAGTATCCTCATCAGGCTCCACCCACTTGTAGCATCACTGGTTGTTAAGGACCAGTTGGCTAGAGTCACATAGGATTTGAAGATTGGGGTTTGAGTCTGTCAGCTGCATTTGAAGTTTATTTGTTGTCAAAATGAATGGTTAACTTCAGTGAAAAGCCCATTTCAAAACAATCAGGTGGTCCAGAGATTTGGCCTGCTGAGGTTATATTCAAATCTCTACTTTTCCTGTGTAGGTAATCCTGTTTTCCAAACTTCCCTATTGGCCATTGACTTTTATGATCTGCCTCATTTACTATTTGGGAGGTTGAGAATGGAAGGTGGATAACTTCAGCTGCAAATATTTTGCGAGTCAAGTGATTATTTTGATGGGTTGTTTTTACTGAAAGTAACCTTCTATTTTGTAGTTTTTCTCATATGTTCAGCTAAGTTTGAATTTCACAGGTTTGTGTCAGGTTAACTCTAAGCTAAAAATGTTCTTCTAATACAATCATGTATGGAGAAAGCACAGAGAGTTATGGCAATGTACAGCTAGAACATGCTGTATAGTTTGAGCATAAACAGTAATGCACACCCAGAAACCAGTAGATTGTAGATCAGAACAGGGGGTGAAATACTTCTTACTCCATATACGAACATTTGATAGCAAATACTGGCAGTTTAGCAAGAAGCTTGTAATTACATTGAAATTATACAAAACATTAACTCTTGCACATGTGGCCAAGTAGGTAAGACTCTATAACTTTTTTCCATTATTTTAACTTTATTCATTTGCACTGGAAAATATCTCAGGCGTAAAGGGAGAGGACTAAGTGTAGAGAGGACGCCATCCTGCCCTCACACAGTGTTGGGTTATCTGTGTGTCACTCCACTGTTTGCACTAGGCTGTAGTTACTAGCTTGTAGTACCCAATTTGAATTTTCTCGACCAATGCAAACCATGAGAATGTGTTATGCCGAAGAATCTGAGAAGTGAAGCATGTCACCAGTACACCAAGGATCTGTGTCAAAAATGCCTTTTATTGACTTTTAACCACTTGCTGAGTGACCGGGGTGTTAAACCCCTTTCCTGTCCAGGCCATTTTTCAGTATTCAGCGCTGCAGTACTTTGGCTGGCATTTATTCTGTCATGCAAAGCTGTACTGGAATTAATTGTATACCATTTTTTGGGGACACGCAGTGCTTTCGTTTCGTGATATTTAATCACCACTGGGGTTTTTTTTTTTTTTACTATGTAATGAAAACATTTATCAGCACCCAATTTTTGGGCAAAATAATCAAGATGGGGTCACGTCGGGTAAATAGACACCAAACATGTCAAGCTTTAAAATTGCGTGCACTCGCGAAATGGCAAAAAACTACCGAGCCTAAAATTGGCATAGGAGACGATTTAAAAGCTTTTTACCGCTCATCAGTTTAGTGTCATCAGTGATTAATAGCCCTAGAATTATTGCTCTCACTGCGACGTTCGCAGCGATATGTTACATGTGTGGTATAATCGTTCTTTTCTACATAGGCACACCCGACGCGTAATTACATTTATAGGTGCGTGCACGCGGGGGGGGGGGGCTTAAAACTTTTTTGGGTGTTTTTTTTTTAATACAAGATTGACATCTGTTTTTTAAACTTTTCTTTTACACTTAACTTGATTGTTATCACATAGGGGACTAAAAACAATGACATGTCCTCTTTATGGAGACATCAGGGGTCTCCAAGACCCCTAATGTCACCTTGGGACCCCCAAAGAAGCTGATGAAGCAGAGATCTGCTTCACCAGCTTCTTCTCTGTCTAGCAGCAAGAGAAATGACAGCTAAAGGCGGAAGTGATGTAATACACATCGCTTCCACCTTTAGAGAGAGAAGGAGGGGAATGCTGATCTCTCCTCCTTCTCTGTACAGAGAGCCACTTTGCCGGTGTTCTCAGTCCTGGGCACCACAGGGGGGACAGCGGTGCCCGGGATAACCGGCAGGGGTGGCCGCGGCAGTTATACAAGTGATCGGTTTTATATAACAGCCGGTAATGGCTGTACACATTCCCGGCGGAATTCTGCTTGTGCGCGCCTGCAAGCTGAAAAAAAATTATGTAAATGTACGTCCACCCGCCGGGAAGCAGCTACCGTAATTTTACAATGGCCGGATGGCCAGGGGTTAAAGTGACATTAAACCCTCAGATTTTTTAACATAAACCAATACTGTAATGTGTGCCTTACTGTAATCCATGGTTGTTTCCCTTCTCTTTGCTGCTCTTCCTTTTAAATCCTCATGTCTTCTCATGCTGGGGGAGAACTTCCCTTTGCAGCTCAGGGCCTCTTCCTGTAGTGCTGGCTCAGGTTACAAGCCTATAAAAACTAATACACAGACACCGTGTATCCATTTCAGAGACAAGGCAGTCTTCTGCAAAACAGAAGTTCTGCCCAGCATGAGAACAGATACAGATTTAAAAGGAAGAGCAGCAAAGAGAAGGGAAACAACCATGGATTACAGGAAGGCATACATTACAGTATTGGTTTATGTTAAAAAATCTGAGGGTTTAATGTCACTTTAATGAACGTCAATAAAGGCGTTTTGGACAAAGATCCGTGGTGAGCTGGTGTCATCCTTCACTTCTCGGATTTGATTCTACAAGGGGTATACCTGTAAGTAGTATGGTGGGATATCTACAGGATTCTGAGGAGATCTGTGCTGAGAGAGCTAGAGGGCTTCAATCTGTGATATCCATCTGTCATGCTTATCCATCAGCTTTTATGCTTTGGGGTCGTTTTACTAAAGGCAAATAGGCTCTTCACTTTGCAAGGGCTTACTGAATGAGGTGAAGCTCTGCTGACTTACATCATCCAATCATGTGCAAGAGAAAATACTGTTTTTTTTTACTTTCCCTGCATGTGATTGGGTATTCTTTGCAAAGTGAATTTCCACCACATTCACTAAGCTAAGGGAAAAGAATTCCCTTACAAAGTGAACAGCCTATTTGCCTTTACTAATTCACCACCTTTGGGTCATGACAAATATAGGGATCAGGAGTTGTGACCTAAGTCTGACTTCTCTGGCGGTATACTTGTTGCAGGTGCATGAAAATAATACCCTGCCTTTTATTTAGGCCATAATTAATTTATTATTTTATTTGGATGAACATTTCACAATCTGCACAGAGCGATGAAGACAGTCATTCTACACGTGGGTGGAAACAAGTGACACACTGGCAAGACAAGAAAAACTACAGAGACCTTTAGATTTATAATTTTTAATTGTTTTAAACTAGCTACAAAATGTCAATCACGTCACAAACTGACAGGAGACAGAAGGAAATTTAATAGTACATGCTTGCAATGATTTTGATAATCACAGTTTATCTAGAATTCATTCAGTTTAGATTATTGTCTTAATTTAAATCTACTTAAACATCTCAGCGATTTGGTGTGCATAGCTCTAGGTAAGCAACAGAGAACATTACTTTCAAAAGAAAAGTAAAACAAACCACGTGGGATAAGTGGCTAACCATACCCAGCCTTATAAAAATTACATATCTGTACCATTTTTATTGTAGACTGTAGTCATTTCCTCACAAAGAGGATCCTCAAAAACAGTACCCGAACCCTATATTACAACCGTATTTGTATTTTTTTTTTAAGTTTTTTTTTTATATATCGCCAGCAACGAAAAAAAGCAACATATATATATTTTTTTTCTTGCTGGATATGTGCCAAGTCTGTCCTTTTTGAAATAAAAAAAAAAGCATGATTATGGTTAAATAGAACAATATATTGACAGAAACATGGCACTACTGCAAACTTGCTGGTATAACATAGTCCCAACAGTGTCCAAATACTCAGCATGCTTTTATTGAATGTGCTACTGCCACGGGGGAAAAGGTCTTCTTGTATGTAGGCATCTAAAATGTCTATTTTTTCCATGCATAAATGCATAACTCACGTCACTTGTTAGTGCAATGCTTAAGTATAGTTATATAGTTTCACGCTCTAATCATGAAATTATAACAGATGGAAGCAACATTGAACCGAGGACAGTTCCACAGCTTAAGTATCATGACACCAAAAAAAGGATATAGGCAGTAGTTCTGTGAAATGTCACAGATTTACAAGAACAATACTGTATAGATCAAGGTCAACAGCACATTAAACATTCCTAAACTGTTGTCATTCGGCAAACATCATAAAAAAATGATTAAAAAAAAAAATTAAAGAAAAAAAAAAAAGAAGAAAAGAAGAAAAGTTATAGTGAGCTAGCGTAGATCACTATATACAACCTTTGGAAATAAATATACTTAAAAAAATAATAATTACAAGTATATTTTTTGGAAAGCTGACATACTACACAGGACGACATTTACAATAGGGGAGGGTGATATGTGCATGTGTGCAAACCTAGTATGTAAATACCATGGTAAAAGCATGAAAGTACTGTCTAGCGGGACAGTTTGGAGCAAATAATAAAGTCTTGAGTCATCTAGCCACTGCCCAGCATCTTTGTGGCACGTGTGTTGGCCTCGTCGATCCTGGCTTTGTTGGAGTCGGCCTAGAAAGAAAAATTGATAAATAAGGTATATTTTTTTATATGTTCCTTCATTTATTTTCCTAGCACTTAATACTGTGATTCCAATGTTCTTCGTCTAAGTAGACTTTCCTCTGCCCAACCATTGACTCCACCTCTTCCTGCCGATTTCAAGGCATTTACTTGCTACCTGGGAGATATAATCCTACACCTGAAGTCTTTATCCAGTTAGACGTACATGAGACAACTCCCAAGGGAGCTTCCCAAAGGGCATCTACTGATATACGATGCCAAATCCACCTTAGCTAGCACCTATCAGTTCAAAGGAACAGCGGCTCTATTATAAGACTCCCCCACTGTTCATAGGTAGAATATGCTTTGTAACTCTACAAATAAACATAATTTGTGCTTCTTGTAATCACCACCTTGTTCCTCGTTATTACCAAAGCTTAACATTATGAGGTCTAATTATCATCAATTCACATAGTTATCTATCGGCCCTTTAAATTTCTGTGAATGTTTGTTCTGTGTGAATGGATGCACAAAACAAATGTTTTTGTTATATTTTCTTAATGAGTCAAATGTATTTTCAAATCTCATCTTGTACTGCTGCATGTTGGCCACTAGATGGAGCTAGTATTTCTTTCCTATGCTCTTCAATGCCATTTAGTGGATACATGTGGTATTACAAGATGACATTTTGAAAATACTGTACATTTGAATTATAAAGAAAATATAAAAAAACTTTTGTTTTGTGCATCCATTCACATAGAACAAACATTTCCAGAGATTTGCAGGGCCAATGACTGCAGTGATGTGAGGTCAGAGGGAGGAACCAGTAAGCTGAAAGCTGTGAGGACCTGGAGACCGACACTCCTAGATGTTTTGGTTTCTCAGTGGCCATTGGAGGACCAGTGTTAGTGATTGTAGCAGTGTTGGCGTGCATCGGGAAAGGTGTGTATTTGCTGCTTTCTTTTAAAGCTAAGAGGAAGATGTATATGGCAGGGTGGCTTTAACAGATAATCTTTGGGTGTTTTGGATTGCTGCACTTTTCATAGCACCACTACTCCTTGTATTAACTTACTGATAGTCTACACTAGCTTTGCCTGTTCCTTCCCTATCGCAAGTGTTAAATTGCAGCTGCATTCATGACTATACAAGTTTCCCTTCTGGGGCAAAACCAAAACGGATGAAACAGCTATGTGCACCTGATATGCATATGTCTATAACAAAAACTGATGTGAACATTTTAGTAAAATGTTTGTCCTTATTAATTTCCACCATGTAGCAGTAACACGTCTGTTTACAAAATTCTTCACCCACCTTCTCCATGATCCTGTCAATCTGGCGGTTTTGTGTGTCAATCTCATTACCCATATCCAGAGCCATGTGACGGAGATTTCCAATAATGCCACTGACTTGCTCGAGGTTCTCGTCCATCTCTGATTCTCGAGCATCATTTGTTACTCTGAAAAACAAGTAAAGAGACAAATATTCTAAATATTGTAGCTGGTTAATGGAGAAAAAGTTCCAGAGTAGGTCCACCCATATCTTGAATAGGAAATGCCGGGTTCAACTAGTAGTAGTTTCCCTTCAGTAGTCTGTGCACTTGATAAAGCCATAGTGGAAGGGCTACTAGACTCCCCTATTATTTGTTTATTCTCCATTGTGCAGAATCAATTTAAGTATATATAAAGCTTAAATTTTTTTTAAACTTTTGAATAATGATAGCCACCATCAGGTTATCGCTTTCTGTGTTCTGTCCTGTTTACTTCACTTTCTGTCCCATATGCACAGCTGGACATAGGAGAAGAACCCTTTAAAATGAGGGGTATCCCCTCTGAGACAACTGTCATCAGAACAGGTTTCCCCATTGAAAGATTTATCTTCTCTTTCCTTGTCTGGTGATAACTCAAAATTTAGCATTTTCCCTCTTGTACTGGAGACATTGGTCACCAGGAAATAGAGAGGGCGAATCTCCCCAGCAGATACAAAGACAGCAAGAAACACCTGACAAGGGTTCTAACCATTTCACATTCTATCCAAATGTGAAAAACATTGTGGCTTTAAAGGCAAATTCCACTTTTCAGACCATGTTTTGTTTTACACCCATATTTGGTCACAGGCTGCAGCTCTGCACCCCCAAATGCCCCCCTTTACCTCTTACTATATGGTGGGGTTCTTCTCTCCCCAGCATCTTGTCTGTTTTTGAATGTTTGCAGCTGTGTGTGGCTCCATCTGTACAGCCATGTCATACATTCAGAATCCGTGAAAATAGTACAACGTCCCATCTTCCACAGCAGAGGGACTTAATTGGACTACAAGTGCAGTGATGTCACCACACTTGTAGTCCATTGATAACTTCCTCCAGCCCTTTAACTGAAAATCCATACCTCCGTACTGACCTAGGGGTTGGAGGAATAAGCTGCAGGAGTCTGGTCATTGCAGCCGGAATCCATTAAAAAGATCAAACTTTTATTTTGGCTTTACTTCTCTTTTGGGTCACAGGAGCACATGTACTCCTGTGACCTAAAGTCAGCAGATTGCAGACTTATGCCCAATATCGGCATTGTCAGGATCCACCCCACTGCTTGACTGACAACTGTGCCCACCCCCTCCCCTGTCTGTCCCTCCAATGAGCACAGGAGAAATAGAGAGGGAAGAGGGGGAAATCCCTGCAGGGAGTGGTGACTGACAGCATAGGAAACACGTATCAAAACGTGTCAATAATGTATGTCAATGCACAATGGAAATGCGATTCACCCTCCTTCCTCTAACGACTAACGAGTGTGAAGTGCCTGCCTGACACTGCACCTCCCTAATGGTAGTAAAAAGTGCACCTCTACGCACATGCATAGATCTAAATGGGCCCTCAGACTTGCAGTGGGAGTATCTGCTCTGTAAAGCTGATGGGTGGGAGACGCTTTCAGGAAGAATCGAGCACAAGATAGGCATCACCAGTGCGGATTACAGCGGGTTCCTGATGAGCTGGCTAAAATCAAAAAGTCCTGTCTGCCAGCTTATAAGCATTCAGCAGAACATGATTGGCCCAGAGTACTGCCCCTTCCCTTCCTAGCCTAAATTCTACTCTACAAGGAACTAGGCTGATATTAAGCCTATGGATAGCCATATGAAAGTACAGCAACTAATACACAGAATCTTGCTGGTAGAAGCTAGCTGCAAAATCCTGCATTATAAGTGCTCTGTACACTGTACACATGTAACATCTGTGCAACGCTTACATGCATTTAGCTCAAATGTGCCCTATTGCTTGCCAGGAGGCTAGGCGTCTCAAGCCGCCTGCAGCCTAGCAATGAAGGACACTAGGTGGCAAGGAGCCAATTGCAATCTCACAAAGAAGGATTATTTGTGGCTTAAGCTGTCAGCATCCTAACAACAAAGAATGCTAGGGGTCTCAAGCCACCTGCATCTTAGCAACAAAGGACACTAGATGGCTTGAGCTGTCTGCACCCTAGCAACAAAGGATGCTAGACAGCTCAAGCCGATGGCATCCAGGTAACAAAGAATGCTGGGCAGCTCCAGCCACCTGCATCGTGATAACCAAAAATGCTGGGAGGCCCCATCCGCTTGCATCCTGGTAACAAAGGATTCTAGGTGTCTCAAGTTGCCTGCATCATAGCAACAGGCAGCTCCAATAGAGTGTATTTGCGCTGTACGCATGTAAACATTTACATGCTTACAGTGTAAACTACAGTCATACGCAGGGGCTCAAATGCAGATTTCTCTATTTTTATTTTATGAATATGAACACATTGTAAGTTTCCTGATCTTTATGCACTGTGTGCAGGGGCCCATAGAAAACAATACACCTGTGCCCTTTTTTTATTACGGGCATGTGTATGAGCCCTAAGACATTTCCAGTTTTATACACTAGTGACATTTAACAATATCATCAACTTTTCAAAGAATGCATGATGGCATTGAATGGGTTTTATATCGCTTGTAATTCAGAATTAAATTGATAAAACTCATATGTCATATCTCAAAGAGAAACAATTCTTAAACAAGAGGGATAGGTGTATTTAGGCCCCCACATAACAGTCCTTCTATAATATAGAGAGTATTGAGCTATTCATCTTTAACAAGATCTTCATCTAAGGCATTTGTGCTTTACATGATCAGCAAACACACAGCAATGCATATTTAATTCTTTTGTATAACTATGGCTGTGGTCCAACAGTTATTGAGATTGCCGGGCTACCAGTAATTGTATGGTGAAATGATATTTGGCCTTTAACTAGAGGCATCTCATTGTGATGCATAATGCCATTTCTCTGTAATTACATAAGAGCAGAGACTATATTATGTCAGATAGTATTACCTGAATGACATATCATTCTAGATTGCTGAAAAAAACAATAAACATGCAACTCTTTGTGATAGGTGGACAAGCAGATAAGGATACAGGGAATCATTTCTTATTTATCTATTTAGATACCTAAATTGTTTAAATTGTTGATACATTTGGGCTATAGCACGTTGACTACACTGAGTGGCCAGTTTATTATGACCACCTGATGTTGGCAAATTAGCTATAATTAGCTATAATTTCACGCTGAAGCTGCTAGAGGGCCAGACCATTACAAATAGGGAAGCAGGTTGTTAACCACGACAGTAGAAGTGATTAGTTTTCTGAAGATATGGGTAAACAACGCGATTTAACAGCCTTTGAACGTGGGATGATTGTTAGCGCGAGCCATGGAGCGAGTATCAGCAAAACAGCAGAATTTGTTAAATGTTCAAGAGCAGCTGTTGTTAAAGTGTTTAAAGACTAGACTGTCAGCCGAAAATCTGGGTCTGAACGTGCGAATTGTGGCCGTCAGCGACTAGCCAATGTTAGGGCAGAACGGAGAGTGGCAAGACTGGTACAAGACAACAGAAGGGCAACAGTGCAGTGTCAGATTCCTCGCATCACCTTTTAACATCTCGTGGAGTCACGAGGCGGCCCAACGAAGTCATCTCGTGGAGTCATCTCGTGGCCCAACGAAGTACTGATGGGGTGGTCATAATAATCTGGCCACTCAGTGTATATCCTCAATTATGAGTGAATGGGAAGTGATCTGCATCACCACCTGTTCATTCATAGTTGTGGTTATAGTAAACATACTCTGTCCTCATGTTATAAATGAACAGGAGTACTCAGTCTAGAGGATTCCTGTTCATTGATAACAGGGGCTGCAGGAAAAGAGATTGAGGACTTTGTGTGCTCAATCTCTGTTTCTATTTTAAAAGGGAAATAGCAGGGGTCTGTTTAGACCCCTAATATTTCCCCAAAGCCCCTAAAAGTAATGTAAAAAAATAAAATATTTAATAAAAATGAATAAATTAATTCAAATAAATATTAAAAAATTAAAAAGTTTATAAAAAATAAAATATGAAAAAAATATGAAAAATTAAAATAAAAACATTTTCGGTTTCGGTCTGACATTTTTTTTAATTTCAGTTCCGTTTCGGTTTTGAAATTTCTATTCCAGTGCACCTCTAATAGAAAGGGTTAGTATAGCCATACAGTTTATTTTAAGAAGGGACTAAAGCAATCAAAAAGCCCTCCAAACCAATCAGTGATAGCACAGTAAAGCAGCACTCGGAGAAGGGGAGTATTAAATTAGGCAAAAAAAAAAAAAACCCAATACAAATACACTTGTCCTTTAACCCCTTTAGGAACAAGCTTCAGATGCTTGTCTTTCAGTTAAGGACCATGGCAATTTTTGCTGTGTGGGTTTCACCGCAATTTCCATCTTTCTCATGTATTGCACCAACACATATTATATACCGTTTTTTAAAGTACAAAAAGGGCTTTAATTTGATGTGACATATTTATATATAAGTTCTCACATACTGCATAAGGGAATCTTAAACCCTCTGGATCCCATTATGGAATTATTCCATCATGGGTCCTTATGGCACGGACGACCATGACGGAATAATTCTGTCATTGGTCCTTAAGGGGTTAAGGTATAACACTTCTTGACATGAACACATAACACGTAGTTATCGCCCAAAAGAAGCTATAAAGTGAACCTTGTTTTTCCAAGCAGGGCAAAGCAATAGGTTCAGTTTAATGCCACCTCACCTCACCTACTGTATGCTTATCTTCACTTTAATCCCCTGACGCAAGAGCTAAGAGAATATTAACTGGTAAAACCAACTATGGAGGAGTGTGATTCACCCTCCTTCCTCTAACGACTCAGTGTGAAGTGCCTGAGAACCTAATCAGTGGGTACCATCACTGTCATAAGGTGCCAATCTCTGTTTAAGCTTCAACTTGATTTACTTGGATCTTACACAGGGTATCTTGTTGGGTCTGCAGAGGAGTGAAAGAAAGGTAAGTAGCAGCAGCAACACCATGCAGGGCCAGCTCTAAAAAGAACCTGTTGCTTTGCATGGGTTTACTTTAACTGTTAACCTATCTACAAGCCCCACTTTCAAAAACTTCCACAAACCCTACAGCAAGCCTAACACTAACCTAACTTTTAAACCAGCCTTTCTCAGACTTATATTCTAGAGGAATCCATTAAATAATACGCCTGAGGAAACCCTCCTAAATATGATTATATCTATATATTACAGTACATTAGTGTGATTAGTAAGATGCAGATATAAAAATCAATACACAAATACAAAATATGGCATACCTGGAGTATTTGACACCTATGGTGGACCATTTTATAACACCCCTCTGATCTATATGACAAAATTGTTTTCTGCAATGATCGCTACATTAAAATGAAATAAATCGAAACAATGGCCACAAAGTAAGGAATTCTCTAGTATATTCGGGGTCAGTGAGAATGCCTTGTTACATTGCGGTCTGTAGGAAGAACGCCACTTACAATAGGGGTCATAGTAAGGAATGCTGCCCTTACAGACAGCTAAAAAGATGATTTGTGCCTCTTATGTAAGTCAAGAGGAGAGGCTCCACTAGGGCCATGCCTTTGGCCTTACCAACTGATATTAGCCTTGAAACAATGCAGAAACTATCAGGTATGAGGTCAATGTATTAATACCCAAGGAACCACTGGTAACCTCTGGAGTAACCCTAGGGTTGAGAAGCCTGGTTGAGAGTAACTGTCCTAAGACTAATGGCTAGCAACTAAACTGTGCCCTAACTCTAACATGTAATCTTTTTTTTTTCTTTTTTTGCCCATGGACGTGCATCAAAACAAACTTCCCCTGTGAACAAAAAAAGTGAACCGTGAAATCACAGCACACAAAAACGTGCACAAGGGTGCAAGGTCCTTCGAAAGAAGGGACCTACTTTCCCGACCCCCCGGGGCGCAAGGCTCCTGACAGGGGTTGAGACTGGTGGTCCACCAACCCGAAGGCCGTGGACCATTTCCTATGGGGACCTGCCGAAACAGGTCCCCCTCAGTACTAGGCAAGTGGGATCTCCCGAAGAGAAACCCCCCTCCTGGGTGGGAGGAGACAGAGAACCCCATTCGAGGCACAGAATCTCCTCCCAGCGTCAGGAATAGGCCCCGAAGAAACCTGCACCTTTCGCATCTGTGGGTCAAATTTTAAAATAAAAAAGTGCCAATCGTGCATGAAGTGCTTAAATAAATCTAAAGTGCCAGTGCACCACTCTGACAGGCCTTAGGGGCCGGAGTGCAAAAATATTGCCCCAGACTAGCCATAAGGCCTGTCTTGGAGGCGAAGTGCAGAAAATTGCAAGGTGGTGTGTGACCAAGTGCCAGTGAGTCATGTGGGGTCCCATACCCATGCGACTTTCTGAGCACCCCTGGGACGCCACCCCCAGGGGGCACAACACCACGGGCTTCTGCCGCCCCCGAACCCTCGGGCCAGACCCCGTGGTTCTCCGCTCACATCAGGAGGTAGTGCCGTCGGGGGTCCTCCCACTGTCTAGGGTCTACCCGATCATCAGGGCCTGACGCAACTAGCAGTGGACCGAACCGTCCTCCGACACCCACCATTACGTCAGAGGGTACTAGAATGTTCTCCCATCGGGTGGCAACATCCTCTCCCCTCCAACAACTGATAAGAACAGATACTACACTTGATCTTAGCCAAAAGGCCGAGAAGCGATAACATGTAATCTACAGCATACTCCTTATACTGTGCCTCTGTGATGTCGGGTAATGTGGTTGGCCTCTCTTCCAATCCTGGAGGCTTCCAATCTAGCCATTTTCTTCACAAGTTGTCCCTGACCCGCCCCTTTCATCCATTTGATTTCTGAATGCAGTTATTTCAATCATAGAGGCTCAGAATCAGGTGTCGGCATTTCCTTGCATCAAAACTGAGGTCTTTTAAAGGATTACCGAGACAGTGTGCTGTGGTGTTTTCACGGAGCTATGTACAGCTCCCTGCTGGTCCCTCCCTCCAACCATGATGTTCCTAGATTGCATTGAGAAATACAGATTCCCAATGATGACATCACTAAGTCTAAAAAAAGGTATGTAACGAAAACAGAAAAGTTTCATTTAAAAATTCAATTAGCGTGTTAATGAGAAGGACGGGAGGATCCCAGGAAGGGGAAATATAAACAGATTAAACTCCAGCTTTGGGCAGAGAGTACTTTGTCATATACCACAGGATCCACACTGCGGCCTGCATTTTATGAATGGGCCATAAAATGCAGGCTTCGGTGTGAAGTATTACTGTTTTGTATAGCGGAGTGCAAATATCGATATGCACTCTCCGTTATAAATTGACCCAGTAGATTTAGTGAACTCCCTCTCCATACTTAAAAAGATTAGGCAGCCTTTTGTAGAGGATCCCAGGCTTTCTGATGACCCAGAATGCAGCCCCCATATTTTTATTCACATTTCTCCTGCATAGTGGTTAGTGGACCGCTTCAGCTTGATATATGGCATAGATAACATTCAGTCTTTCATTGTTTATACCTGTTACATAGCTGTGATCTCATAACAAATAACTGGAGAGTCATTTTAATGGTCCTTCAAATCTGTAATTATGCCATGAGTAAGGCAGAACTGATACGATTTCAGAGGCTGCTGACGGCAATAATAATTGGGTTCTTTGTGTTTGCTGCATCTTATTAAAGATAATATAAACCCTAACAATTCTTATTTGCTTTCTTTTGGTGTATTTTACCATTAAACGCATTTTTATAGCTGTTTGATATTTGCAAAAAATATGCCTGTTGATCCTGTAAGAAACCCAGTGCTGCCATCTGCACTCGGCAGTCTTATCTCAAGCCCGTTTAACAGCCCTGCATAGTTTATCTATGTGAACTACAGAACCCCTTAACCCCATGTTGGAGATGTTCTGTAGTCCTAGCAGACTTCTTGTCCGTGGGTAACAATGCTGCTCCACCATGGTTAAAGTAGAATGAGTAAGTGTCGTCATCTTTGGACTGATAAACTGTAATGCAGTCCATTTTTGTTTTTGGGTTTACATACACTTTTAAATTCTCCTTTTTAAGACCCATACCCAAACCATTTTGTTATATGAATACCAAAAAAATTAAAATAAAAGTCCTCCCTCCCACACACAAAAAGTCAAACATTTAACAATGACACAAATGAGATTGAATTGCTTTTGTGAAACTGAGGATGGGAGAGAAGTAAACTTTTGGTGCTATTAACTGTTTAGATTTACATTTTTAATATGCATACTTTATTAGTAAAAACTGGCAAGCAGGTATGAATAATGTCAAGCCTTTCAACATTTTGAGATGGAAAAGAGGTACACCCTTAGTCAAAGAACACACACAACGCACTTTCCCTGACATGTAATATACCAAAATTATTGGTTAAAGCCACAACAATTTTTTCTCTTCTCCCCACTTTTTTTTTATACTGGCTTTTAAAAGAAATGCAATAATTTAGTTTGGATGTAATGTGTAGTGCATTATAATACTTGTGGTAGTTAAATAGTAAATCTGCATGGTCTATACCTCAGGCGTATAAGAGGAACAGAGGAAAATAGTTTTAATAGAAGGTCAGCCTTTCCAAATGAAGGACAGTTGAGTACTATGAATAAAGATGCTGGTTCCATTTTATAAGGACATTACGACAGGCAGCAAATAAGAAGATGACTTACCTACGGACAAAGCCACCACTAATAGCCATCTGTTCACGTTCATCCACGACACGGGCGGGCTGACTTGCTACCACTCCATCTTGGTTATTGCCCCAAGCTTTTTTGTAAGCATCACTTGATTTAAGCCTATAGAAAACACACTGTGAATGACCTATGCAAGCATGGTTAAGGTCAGTGAGAAATGAAATGCCACAGGCGCCATGGCAGAGAGCCAATTACAGCTGATTCAGGCAAATGAGCAACCGACAGGGCATCAGCTTATACCGATATATATCATAAACCAAATTACCTAGCACTGATGTCTATCAGCGGTGAAATCCTGAAATTCAGTTAATTCATTCAGAACTTCACCTCACCGGTGTAACAGATATTGAATTTCTTTTTCATCCAGTAAATAGGAAAACAGTTAGTCTTTTCTATGACATAAAACACACATAGAGAGACATACCGGCAGACAAACATAAAACAAAACTGCCAAGTATAGTGTGTACATCACATCACATGGACATCGGCGTCACATAAATTCACCTACATGATAGATTGGCACTATGCAAGGGATTAGGTTGCATAGTATGTTTGTATATTATTAAGTATCTTAGTACAGGATGAGTGGAAACAGCTATTTCAGAATACATGTATTATTCTGATCTCTATTTTGTTTTTGGATAATATATCGGTACTTTCAAACAGTAACCATACATCGAGAGTTGATGTACAAACCTTTGTCAACAAAGACAAAAAAATAAAAAATAAAATAAGTTGAGTGGAATGAATGCAGCAGCAAACAAAACAAGCGGTGTAGCATCAATGTCCAATATACCTTGTTCATGCACAAGCTGGTGGCATGAATAGGAGGTGAAACACTCTTCAACTAAGCACAACTGCTCCCATGGATCACTATTGCATTAATGTACCATCAGTAACAGCAGTCACAGAGCCCAAACCAGTCAAAAGTGGACGTCTTGCCTTCTGTGCTTTGAAAAAATTATTGATTAAAAAGGTTTTCCACTTCTTCATGACTTTATCTTTTTGCCGTGTACAGCACTTTCTATGTTAAGCCCATACCCAGCCAATCTGTTTTTTTCTTTTTTGATAGAGGGCGAAAGGGTCAGGAGAAGACAACAGTAAAGAAAAATTGCATAGTAAAGAAGGAAGGTTTAGAACCTCTATCAAAAATGTGTTGGCTGTGCCTCTATGAGAAAATGACACCTCATTTACTGTCCATATGACAGGTGTAAGACAGAGCTGTAAGCGAGGAGAAATTCCACCCAAAGGAGACATTAAAAAAATAAAAAAATCTTATTTTCTTATTAAAGGTAGAAATTCTCTTTTATAATTCTCTCTTAGAATGCTGTTGTGGCATCCCTATGTGGAATATTCTCTATTCCACATTGGGATGCTACAACACATTCCCTATGTTTAATTCTCTTTTAGAATGGTGTTGTAGCATCCCTATGTGGAATATTTGCTCTCTTCCTGTTCATGTGATAGGTGTCACACAGAGCAAGGAGAGAACAAGGAGAGAAGACAAATATCATCTATAGAGACACAAACAGCATTTACAATCTCAAAAAAAAATCTCTTCCATAGGGACATAGACATCATATACAACCCTTCCCCAGTCTATCCAAAAGTGGAACAGTTTTGGCTGGAGCTGAGTTTTTATTGGCTCTTCTGACTTCCAGGTTGGGTTTTTTTTTTAATGAGCAAGCAGAGTAATTTAAGGTTTATGTACATAGTTTTGGTTCTGCCTTATTTCAGTGGAACATCATCCAGTGGATGGTTAATATTGTATTGTTAAACTATATACTGTAGTCTTGGGATAGAACGCAACTGGCTATGTTTGTTTTCATTAAAGAAACCACTGTGACACCCAATCAAATCTGCTTGCTAAAAAAACAGCTGTAAAGTAATAAAGAAAAGAGCAAAATACATAGAAAGAAATGAGAATGTAAAAAGCCAATAAATCAAAGTCATTCAAAAGTGGATCACCCCTTTAACATGGTTGACCCCACCCCCAATTACTCAAAAGCCATTTTTGACTGGGTTGCTATAGCAAGAACCATTAAAATCTAGGCATGCCTGCAGTGGCAGATGATGATAAAATGTGCAGCATTATCTGGGATTCTCTTCATATCAATCTAGTCAGGACATAATTTACTCTGTTTACAGATCAAGGGGTCTTCAGCAATTGTAATATCAGCAATAATCCGCATTAGCTCTTGCGTTATATCACCTTGGACTTTGGCAGCTCCACCAAAAATTTCTACTATGTACAATAATGTAGATTCTTTTACACGTGTAGATTTTCAGGGCTTTATCTGGAATAATTGTTGTACTTCCCTGGGTTTCATATCCATATATGTTTAAAAGCATTATGATTCTTTGCTTTTCACTAAAATTAGGCAGGAAGGTGATAACAGGTTGTATATAACACTGGTGGTTCAGCTGTTCTAGCAATAGTGCCTGAGACTGTAGCACACAGTTGGTACAGTATTGCCAATATTAATCACTACCCACTATGCTGCACATGACCTACTAATTACATAACTGTGTCAAACCCCATTACATGCTGGAAACAATCTCCATTGTACTCCAGACTAAAATAGACTAGTTTGTATGACTGCAGAGTGTCAGATTTGCATATAGCAAAAATTTGGCTTTATCAGTACAACAGCTGTGTCAGCTGGTATTAACAGTGTCATCTAGGTCAACAGGACCACATTTACACAATTACTAACAGCGTCTGCCTTAGAGAGAGAGCCGAGATAAAAGATGTCATGGAGCAATTTGTTGTCGCAATTTAATGAATTATTTTGGCATACATTTCTGCAATACAAGATAGTCTATTCTGAGTCTAAAAAATGAATAGAATTAATAGCAAGAGTCAGTTCACTAATGAATAATAAAACAACAAATCAAGTGCAACCCATTTAGAAAAGTTTCAGAAAGCCCAGCAAGCTTCCAGGCAAAATTATCTACATGCAAAAGTCTAAAGTTTCAACATTTCCGTCAAGAGCATCATAAATTTAAAATTTTCAGCATTAAAGATTAAATTATTTGGCACATATTTAGATTTTCTTTTATACAAATAATTCTACAATTTGTTTTGAGGTTTTATAGTTTATCATTAAGCACATTTTTATTACTTTTCTTTTATGTAACGGAAATGTTGAAGTTCATGTTACCGTGAAGGGAAATGCAGTGTGGTCTTCACTGCAGAATGCCCGATTTTAATATGTCTACTTCCCACTGTCTATTCTATGAGATGAATATTGATCTCTCTGCATGCCACATGCTTTTTCCTGCCCATGTGTCTAGCAGCGATGATCTCTGCAAGGCTCAAAGACCAGCCTTGGGTGCTCAAAGACTTAGGCAGGCAGAACCTACTTGTTACATGGACAGACACATAGACCACAGAATTTTCCTAGGTCCGTCAAATTCTTTTCTGCTTCTTTCATGTCCTTATTGATTTGCTCCATCCCTTCCTCGATGCGTTCCAGTTGTTCTGATTAAATATAAGCATTATATCCCCACAGAATGAAGCAGATGGAAAAGGACAAAAAGAAAGACAAAAAACTTCAGACATTCACTGTGACAAAAAAACCGGACACCACAGAGCAGAGTCGGTACTCAGTACCTACTTGTTACAAGGACATATGAAAAGGCCACAGCATTTCCCTAAATCTTTTAAATTTTTCTCGGCCTCCTTCATGTCTTGGTTGATATGGTTCATGCCTTCTTCAACACGATCAAGTTGTTCTGGTCAGGACAAAGGGATGACAGTGTGGAATGAAATTTTATTTTGTCTTACACAGAACATGATAAAGGACTATGTCAACGGAAAGTGCAAAGTTACTTCAATGCATTATGGAGATAGATGCATTGAGGTTGAGTAGAAGCTGATCACTGAAGCCAGAGATTTGTTTTTTTCTTCTGTAAAATGGAATAAAATAACACTGACTATGAAATATTAGAAGTGAATACATGATCTGATTTGCTTAAACACATAATGGCATGAAACATTTATGTTTCTGTCTGTGAAGGCTCAAGACAATCTATGGACAAAGACGGTTAACAACATCCATGTAAATAAATAAATGTTAAGGATTAATAGATCATAGTTGTCACACAAATCAGTGGACAAAAGCGGCCTAAAAAAGAAATGTGGTTGTTAGTGGTGGTTGCCTTTAACAACTAGTTGCAGACAAGAGTTAATCTAACAAGCTGGAAAATAAATAAGGAAAATCCACTCTCAAAATTACAAGCATATTGGAAAGATAGCATAATTCATATACTGAGATTTACATAGTTACATAGTTACATAGTATTTGAGGTTGAATAAAGACATTAGTCCATCAAGTCCAACCTATTAGGATCTCATTCTAGGAGTACCCGTACCCCTGTATATTACGGTCCCTTAAGAAATCGTCCAAAAGTTTCTTGAACAATTCCACATTATTTGCTGAAATCACCGTCTGTGGCAGTGAGTTCCAGACCCTAACTGATCTTACTGTGAAGAACCCCCTTCGCCCCTTGTGCTGGAATTTTTTTTCCACCAATTTTAGGTGGTCATTTAAAAGCTAGATAGTGTTACCTTCAACTTTAATTTTGTAAAACTTATAGAAAAGTCTATACAAGTCATATTTGAAGACTATAATTAATTAACAAACAATTTTGGAAAGTTTTATAGACTTTATTAACGAGCAAATTAAATAAACTTTTAGCCACAGTTTATTTATATAGTATTTCAGTGCTTGTATATTTGAATGGGTGTGCCTACTACAAAATTCAAATGCTGCTTAAAGGAGAAGTATTGGGACAGTAAAATATTCTCTTCCTATTACTTAGAGCATGGTACACTGCAGATGTCACAAGCTGGCTATATATACCAAGAGATGAGTGTTGATTTAACTGCTAATCACTCAGCTCACGGCTTCTCTCTGAAGAGATCAGTGAATGTCAGTCTCCCCGCAGGGATTCCCCCTCCCCTCCCTCTGTTCTTCCAGTGCTCACTGGAGGGACAGACAAGGGAGGGGGTGGGCACAGCTGGACCTGACTCTAGAGAGGCAGAGCCAACTTTCAATCAGGCAGTATCAGCTAATATTGTTGGGTTCCTTCCTGGATGCAACGCTGTTCTGCAGTAGCCCGCTATATGCTGACTCTGGGACACAGGAGAACATTAGTAAATGTCGTCTTTTGACCCAAAAGAGAAGTAAAGCCAAAAAAAAAAGTTTGCAGACTAAATAAAAACTGGAACACTCAGTAAAAGATGGAACTTTAAGTACAACTAGGCTTTCTGTGTCTAATAGAGACAAATCAGTTTCTGGTTGCTGTTGGTTACTCCAAGTTGCACATGGCTTATTGAATATGCCTGTTTAAAATTGGCCCTCATAATTGTTTTTCTGACAATTATGAGGTTGGCTAAGGTTAGTCCTCGTGTTATTTTCCCATAGGAAGGTTCTTTGTATTTACTGCATTATTTATGGTGCATATTTTAGCAGTAGCATCACTATGTGCCAACTTTTTTTTTTTCTACAGGAAAAATTAAAATAGAGGAATGGAAGATCTTGAAGAGGAGGGCAGCGCGGTGACCACGGGGAATGCTGATTGATTTTAATCCAAATATAGGATCTACTGTAGGTAAGTTAAACTGGATGCTGTCCAAAATGTAAGACTACATCCAGGCAATGTGCGATGCCTGTCCTTCGCATGCACATCAAGTCTCGGTAGCTAGAATGTCCAAAGGTGCTCTTACGTAGCCATGAACTTAACCCATAATTGTCCACTCAAATTTTGGGTAGTTGTATGCTTATCAGAATCCAAAGGGGTTGAATTTATATTCATTCCAAAAAAATGATGCATATAGTTTATGTGAGAATACTTTAAAGGGCCGGTAAGCCAAAAAGACATAAAAATAATAATAAATGAATAACATCCCCAAATATCTTAAATATCATAAAGGAGAATTATAGGGAGAGTGAAGTGTCTCCCTACTGCCATCATGATAGTTACAGCCGATGCGTGACACTGAAGCTGTCACACACCTGCTCTATTGCTCGAGAAGTGATCAATCACAAACCACCGTTTGCTCAGTTCACAATCTTTTCCCTGCAGAGAGTGATGACTGTCCCCTGCTCCCTGTAGGAATTCACCTCTCCCCTATCTCTATTCCTCCAGCGCTGACTGGAGGGACAATTGAGGGACGTGGCAGGCACAGTTGGCTCCGGCTCTAGAGAGGCAGAACCAGCTGTCAATCAGGCAGCTGGGTGGATCCCGATAATATTGTCTGAATCTTTCCCAGCTGCAGGGTGGCTCTTTACTGTCAGCATATAGTGGGCAGTAGCCCGCTATATATAAACAATAAAGGTGATCAGCGCCAGTAAGTGTAATGTGGAAATAAGAGCTACCCAGCACTAAGGATATAACTAAATATCTGGAAAATGTGAAAAACAATATTGTGCCGAGCTAATAATCATACATATCTAATAAATTGAAACATATATAAATGAGTCACATATATGAGCCTTCAAACAAATGAGGCATAGAAAGTATCTACACAAAGACAAAAAAGCAATATAGACAAAAAAAAGTCACAAGGAAAAAACAAAAGCAAACAATGGTGATTGTGCAAAAAAATCCTCAGATGATTCGCAGCCAATGTGCATATAACTCTCAGGTAAGGATAATCACACAATGCAGGCAGACCTTCACCTCCACCCAGTGAGTGATGACATCAAGTGAGTGCTCATCTGGGGAGGTAGACCCACAGAGCTAGGTCAAATGCGTTTTTCCCTTAATGGGGGAGGGAAGCCCATGCACAGAAAAGTCGATGAGGTCTCCTCAGATCACAGGTACCAGTATAAATCCAGGTGGAAAGAGAAAAAGGATAAGTACGTAACGTCCAATAAAATGCAATTTATTAAATAAAAAATGCATACTCACAATGGTGTAAACAGTACAGGCATTGGGTATTGCTGGATCAGACCAGCAGGGCAAATGGCAGAAAATTGCTTTTTTGTCTTTGTGTAGATATTTTCTATGCCTCATTTGTTTGAAGGCTCATATATGTGACTCATTTATATATGTTTCAATTTATTCGATATGTATGATTATTAGCTCGGCACAATATTGTTTTTCATAGCCCGAGTTTTGGGTTACAGGAGGACATTACTAAATGTACAACCATTACAACCATTCCTAATGAGCTTGACAAAGAGGTAACATCCTCGAAACGCGTTGCTCCCGAGCCTCCACCCACTACTTCACCAACCTGATCCTTCCTCACTCCACCACCATCCCGGCCGATCCTCCATCCTGCATCTTCACCGCGGCACGGACACTGGCCCAGACACATCCACCTCACAGCCCGATTTCCTCCACCCGCAGCTGCAGCCCAGCCTGACGTCAGTCCTCACATCACTGGCACTTCACATTGCCTCAGCGGGGACACGGACACACTGTCACATCCATCTGGTCCCGAGACCCACTTAAAGTAAGTGAACCATTTACTCTTACTTTCTCCACTGTGTTACTACCAGTCTCATAGTCCCCCTAGCCTCGCGCCCTCACGTTTGTTTTTTGTTTCACAAGTGCAGGCACTCCTCCTGTCTCTTAGGGCTGCAGGCGAGGTAGAACTACAGTACCCTATTCCCTTGGCCCAATCCGAGAGCGCTGTTCGTAATATTTGTATGTACTAAATGTCCTCCTGTGACCCAAAAGAAAACTACAGCCAAAAAAAAAAGTATGGCCATAGTTCTTCTTTAAATAAATATTCCTATACATTAAATGAACCTTGAGAAATTGCTTACTGTATCAATATGTGCAGTGTAGCTTGTTGTGTTGCATTATAAACAGTGATATAGTTATCATAATGATCCTTGTGGATCAGTATCTGTGGCAGAAGGGTAAGGTATCAAGACCAAAATATACGTGTGAACATTTTTTTTCACTTTTCTTGTCACCTTTGGATGTTTGTGCTTAACTTTGGCAAATTAACTATAGGGAAAGTGTACACAAGTGTACAGAGGAGTCACAAGAAACATAAAGCTATCCCTCCGTTGTCTTGTTTGTTGGTCCATGGAATTAAAAACTAGTTGTGCCTGTAAAGCAGACAGTATGATGCATCCAAGCATCAGTTTTCACTAAAATAACTCCATAATACAAGTATGTACAAATGACTTTTTGGGGGTAGCAAGATGTCTAATACAGGCCTGACTGTGAGCTATTCAGGCTGGAGGAAGCTGAACAAGAGCCGCAACTACTTTAAAGGACAAGAAGTTTGTTTGTTTGTATGAAAATATTTTCTGGAAACTTAGAGGGTTATTCACAAAGCTGCCAAAGGCCGCCCGTGTGACAATCCGACCCGAAGTGAAGTGAGCCGAACGCTGTTCGGCTATTCACTTCAGGCTTGTAGGCTGATTTCAGCCATACACCGACTAAAATCAACCGTACATCGGGTTGCTGCGGCTGGGTTCGGGTTGGCCGAACATGCTCAGCATGTTCGGCCGACCCGAAGTGCAGAAGGAGTACGACTCAGCTGATCCAACATCCAGCAGCATTCAGCTCAGCTATTCTGCTCGGTACCTCTGTGGTACCGAGCAGAATAGAACAACAGTTAAAAAAAGTAGAGCAAAAAAAATAGAAAATGATTGGGCGGAGCTAGCAGTGACAGCTAGCTCCACCCAACTGTTTTCTATTGGCCAGGGCCAGCTGTCATTACAATGAGAGCTTGTCGGAGTCGGCGGTGAAATCAAAGTCGG